CAAAACCCCATCAATTAATATTGAAATTAAATGTTAAAATTAATAACTAAACCCCAGGGAGATATGATACTTCGAATTTCTTCAGATCAAAAATATATATAAACTTAAATTTTCAGGATTTATAAAAAATAAATATCTATCAATATATAATTTCGAAAATGCTAAACAATTATGAGCTAATCAAAACAATATCAACGGGATTCGGTGGTAAGATAAAACTAGCTAGAAATACAGAGAACAACACTGAAGTAGCCATTTAAATTCACAGACTAGATGATAGTTCACTTGATTAAGATAGAGTAAACGTTTTTCAAAATGAGGCTAAGTTGCTGTCTTAAATCTTTCATGAAAGAATATTAAATATAATTGACTATCATGCTAGATCAATTGTGAAGAAATCAGATGGAAGTTAGTATGAAATAGTCTGCGTGACTATTAGTGAGTTTGCAAAAGGAGGAGAACTTTTCTATTATATAAAGAATAATGGATCCTTTAAAGAGAGACATGCTAGACATCTTTTTAATCAAATGCTTGAGGGTTTACAATACCTTCACTCTTAAGGTTATTGTCACAGAGATCTCAAGCCGGAGAATATACTATTGACTGAAAACTTTGATGTTAAAATAAGCGATTTCGGATTCGTAGGTCCTATTGCTGGCAGATCTAATGATGGTTTCTTGAAGACTAAGCTTGGCACATTACCTTATCAAGCACCAGAGATTAATTTAAATCTTAGATATAGAGGTGAAGATGCCGATGTGTTTTCTCTTGGAATTATCTTGTTCATCATGGTTACAGGACTTCCTCCCTTTAAAGTAGCTGATGAATCTGACTTCTTTTACAAACAAATTATTCATGGAAAAACTGCAGAGTATTGGGCATATTTCTAAAATTGTGTTCAACAAAGTGGAGGATAAACATTTAGTGAAAACTTTATGGGCCTTATTCTAAAAATGCTTGAATTTCATCCTGATAAGAGGATTAAGCTGTAGTAGATTAGAGAGCACTCTTGGGTAGCTTCTGGGGATTATCCCTTACTTGATGAGATTAGAGTAGAATTAGCCAAGAGAAAAGCTAAAAATGTATTAGAAGCTTAAAAGGCGAATGCATTAAAGAAACAATAGAAAGCAAAATACAGAAATTTACGCTGAAGATGAAGCAAGAGATATCTCTCAAAAAATATATTTTAGCTATTTCATGATGCTTATTATTAATATGTTTCGAATTATTAATTCAAAATTTAGAATCAAGGGGTTTTGGGGTTTTGGGGTTTTGGGGTTTTGGGG